ATTGGATTGGATCTTGATATCGAATATCAAGATCCAATCGAATCCACTGATTCGATTGGATTTTTTTTTTTCGTTTTGTTCGTTTGTTTTTTTCTTGATTGATTGATTGATTGATTGCAGTAGGCAGGGCGCTGAGCAAGTAGCAGTATCCCAAGTAGAGAGTACAAATGCACCAAGAGAACCATCCATAAAGAGCAATACAATGAAGTATTGAGGCAATGTCCAAGCCCGTAGGCCAGACCAACACAGTATCCAGAGTCACTCTCTTTGTTTGGCGCACAGCACCCAGCCTACTCTACCATACAGAGGGAGGATTAGGGTAGGAGGAAAAGGAAGAGGAGGAGGAGGAGGAGGAGGAGGAGGAAGAGGGGGAGGATGGCGAGAAGGAGGAGGAGGAGGATGGCGAGAAGGAGGAGTTGGAGGACGACGACGACGACGAACAAGAGGCAGACGAGGACATGGAGGAGAGGGAGGAGGAGGAGTAAGAGAGTATGAGGGAGGAGGTGGAGAGGTCACGGATTTTTTTTTTTTTTATCAATCAATCAATCAATCAATCAATCAATCAATCAAGAAAAAAAAAACGAACAGAACGAAAAAAAAAATCCAATCGAATAAGTGGATTCAATTGGATCTTGATATTCGATATCAAGATCCAATCGAATCCATTGATTCGATTGGATTTATTTTTTTCGCGCTGTTCGTTTTTTTTTTCTTGATTGATTGATTGATTGATTGATTGATTGATAAAAAAAAAAAACAACGAACAGAACGAAAAAAAAAATACAATCGAATCAGTGGATTCGATTAGATCTTGATATCGAATATCAAGATCCAATCGAATCCACTGATTCGATTGGAATTTTTTCTTTCGTTCTGTTTGTTTGTTTTTTCTAAATTGATTGATTGATTGATTGATTGATTGATTGATTGATTGATTGCAGTAGGTTGGGGGCTGAGCAAGTAGTAGTCTCCCAAGTAGAGAGTACAAATGCACCGAGAGAACCATCCATAAAGAGCAATACAATGAAGTATTGAGGCAACGTAGGCCACACCAACACAGTATCTAGAGTCGCTCTCTCTGTCTGGCGTACAGCGCCCAGCCTACTCTCTGTCTCTTATACACATCTAGATGTGTATAAGAGACAGCCGCATAACGCTCGATATCCTCTCCCTCGCCCATGCCCTGTGCAGGACGCTCCGCCTCGCCACCCATCGCACCCAACCGCGGGACATCGAGACCACGCTCGTGTGCGAACCGCCGCACCCTCTGTACCTGATCGGCCTCGAAGCGGTGTGTACATTTCCCCGCAATCTGGTGCAATGCATCATCGGACACCCTCTTGCAATAATTTTGTTAGGTGAAGTGTTTCGTTGCGTAGAATTGGGTTCCTTGAAACACCTTATTGCAGAAGGTGCACCGTAGCATATTAATCCCCCTGTTGTCGACCTTCTGGCCGACAACAATGTAATGGTACACAGCAGATTTGCGCCTATAATCCTACTACACATGTCCGAGCGCAGGCTCATGTTCGCGCGTCTGTTTTCGCGGCATTGTGAACCCCCCTCAAAGCCGCGCCCGTCCAGTCGTAAGGGCCTCCCCTCCGACAGCTCGTGGTCAGCGGCGCCACAAAGAAGCCCGTATCCTCGGCCTGCCCAGTCCCAACACTGTAACACCCGCCTCTTTTCTCCCACTGCCAAACCTGCGAACAACCGTCGACCCCCCGCAACCGTCGAACACCCGTCACCCCCGGCGAAAACCCGTTAACCCTGTTCAACTCCCGTTGAAACCCCATTGAACTCCTGTTGAAACCGCGTTGAAGTGTCGTTGAAAACCCGTTGAACTCCCATCGGACCCTTATCCTGCAAATTCGGTGGGGGACTGCCGGCGCCGCTGATTAGTAGGGGATGTCGCCTGCACCGACACAAAATAAAACAATCAATCAATCAAACAATCAATCAAGCAAGCAAGCAAATCGGCCAAACCATCAATCAATCAAACCATCAATCAATCAAACCATCAATCAATCAAACCATCAAACCAACAATCAATCCATCACTCAATCCATCAATCAATCAATCAATCAATCAATCAATCAATCAATCAATCAATTGATTGATTGGTTCACTGTTTTCATCAATCAATCAATCAATCAATCAATCAATCAATC